TATAACAATTACATTTTTCTAGTTTAGACAAAAATTTTTAAAGTGTCGCTCGGTACGAGTAGTACGCGGCTTTGTCACCAGAGGGACGTAGCGGAGTTCAGTTTCTCCTAAGAAGGAAACCACTCAGCTTACGATAAAAGGCGCAGCGTTGGTTTCAAACTTGGAAGACAAAAATGAATAAGAAATGCATACACAAATTTGTAACTATGTATTATAAAGCTTTAATAACAACAATAAGTAAATTAAGTGAACTAAGAAAATATAGTAATATTAACCATTTATAAATTGATTATATGGTTAATGTACTATATTTTTTTAGTTCACTTAATCTAGTATTCTTATTAGAATTTAATAATATGTATATAGTTGAGGCGCTATTTCACTACAAATTTATAGTTACTGATACGACTTTTTTCTCTGAGTGTATGAATTAGTAGCACCGCGCACCGGAGAGAAACCTGAGACAGGACACGAAGGCCTTTTTTTTACAATCGCAAAATGCCCCCGCACACATAAACTTTTATACAACATTTTTCTAAATTTATATATCTTATACTTACTTCTATACAGATAAATTTCAATTCTTAAAATTATAAAATTAATAAGGTTTTATTTCATTGTCGATTTAATATGCCAATAAGATACTGAGCGTTCAGTGAGCTCTTGCATCTGATTGGCATATTCCGTTAGAACTAAAAATATAGACCAAACAGATTCAAGAGCTTAGTGAGCGGTCGTAGTACTAAATGCACCCATTGGCTACGTTTACACCGTGGTCGGTATTCATAGTCAGATCTTATTTCAAAACCGTCTTAAGTAATGTCTTAAGATGCTAATACAGCTCTCTGATTGGTTCGTGACATTTCAAGACTGAACTTAAGATGGTCTTGAATATAATGCGGGGTCTACAATAGAAGTCGTAGCGATTGTAGAGTCTTAAGTCGTAGAAAATTGACCAATCACAGTTGATTATTCTTCTCATATTCGACTATGATTGGTCAATTTTCTACGACTTAAGACTCTACGACCGCTACGACTTCTATTGTAGATCCCGCATCAGAGAAACGTATTTGAGATGGAGAAAGGGGGAGAGAGAAAGAAAAAGAATCGAAACAAAAATCAAGTGCTGACGAGATTATTTTAGCTACACTTTCTACACTTGGCGTAAAATAAACACGCTTTATAGAAACAAATTCGAGTATTTACATGCTGAAAGATGTTATATATGAAATTAATTAAATGCTAAAACGCAATGTAAACGTTTTAATCGACTAAACGTTTCATGTCAAGTTAATCTATATTTATTATTTTTTTACCTATTCGCAGCGATCAGCGATTCAGTTGATATTGCACCACATTGCGTACATAGTTACGTGTGTAACTTAATTTGCAAAAACAATGCGAGACGTTTCCTAAAGCAAAATTGTATTTTAAAAAGGGACTGTAGTCGATTGCGTATTTCGTCGCGATCGTTTGTCGAAAGCGCTTTAGTTTATCTGAGTTTATCTCTCGAGTCGAACTCGCTGCAAAGATGTCAAAGATATTTACACCGACGAATCAAATAAGGCTGACAAATGTAGCCGTTGTTCGCATGAAGAAGGCTGGCAAACGATTCGAAATTGCATGCTACAAGAATAAAGTGGTATCTTGGAGAAACAAACTGTGAGTTCACTTTTCCCAAAATGATCTGCTAGTTTAACCTAATTTACAGTTTCTCAGTTACTTATTCAAATTAAGTACACTGTTTCCAAATAATATCACTACTTGTTAAATCTCTTCAATAATTATAACTCCAAGATTTTTCTCTTCTTTTATTTCTTAAATTTATCTTAACTTAGAAACTTATTAATTTAACTGTCAATTTTAAGCATTTAGAAATTTGCTAATCTGCTGTTATTCAGAAGATTCCTTTTATTCCCTATGTAATGTGTATATAATTGAATACTTATCATTTATTATTTTTCTTTAAAATATATTTCAGAGAGAAGGATATTGACGAAGTATTACAAACACATACAATATTCACCAATGTATCAAAGGGTCAGGTGGCGAAGAAGGAAGATCTCATAAAAGCTTTTGAAACCGAAGATCAGACTGAAATCTGTAAACAAATTCTTGCTAAAGGTGAGCTTCAAGTTTCTGATAAAGAGAGGCACCTGGCATTGGAATCCATGTTCAAAGATATCGCTACGACAGTCGCCAGTAAGTGTATAAATCCAGAGACTAAGCGTCCGTATCCAGTTACCATGATTGAAAACGCCATGAGGGACGAGATACACTTTTCTGTCAAACCTAATCGAAATGCCAAGCAACAGGCGCTGGATGTTATCTCACAATTGAAAGAGGTAATGCCTTTGGAACGTGTTCAAATGAGGCTCAAAATTGTCATTCCAGAAAAAGAAGCTAGGAAATTGAAGGATAAAGTTGTTAAATTCTCAACTAAAATGGAAACGGAAGAGTGGGACAATGGATCGTTAACAATAATCTGCTTAATCGATCCAGGTCAATATAGAGGAATAGATGAATTAATACGGTCAGAAACAAAGGGCACTGCTTTATTGGAATTAGTTAATTTAAATGAGGTAGTCGAAGGAGAAGAACTCTTAACATAAATCATGAATGGAATTATTATGTTTCTAAACTCACTGTTATGCACTGGAGAGATTCATATTTATCAATTATAATTTATATTTTAATGTTAATAATTATATGTTAATTTTGTTACAATATGGCTAATAAATTTGCATTTGTATTTACAAGTTGAATTTAAGTAAGTTACCTACACGCATGTCAACAGTATCTTTACCAGTATTTTACACTATTCCTATTAAAAATTGCAATAAACATTTTTCATTAAGATTAAGAATTACACTTTTATTTAACTAATTTTATTCTGTTTAAATTTATTCTATTTATTGCAATTTTAGATATGTAATACATATCCATTCCAAAAATGTATCTGTCTATTACTTGATGAACACGAAGCATACAGACAAACATTTGATAACAAATAATATTAGAATACTTAGTTATTTTATATTTATTTATATTTGTAACTACTGTGTTATATGTATGTGTACATATGTGTGTATGTGTATTATATTTGTCCTGTGTGCAAAAGTTGATATCCTAAAAATTTGTAAATCAGTCCTTTTGTTTCTCTTCCATCACATCCGCTCGCGGAATATAAATATTTTCCGTACGTTGATCACATTTGGCTGCAATACGTGATACTGTTAGAAGGAAGTCTGATAATCTATTTAAATATGTCTGTGCCTCTTTATCTAGAGCATCCTCTCGTACTAATGTCGTGATACTCCTCTCGGCACGCCTGCATACCGTTCGTGCAACATGCAGAGAAGCGCAAGCTTTTCCGCCGCCCTAGTTTTGAAACATTAGATAGAATTGGAGTTAACTCAGAAATATGTGTCTATATAGGATGATCCTTAAATATATTGCTAAAATATTCAAAGAATTCCTCACATTAAGATCAAAACTATTTTCGAGATGAAAATTACACGTCCAAAACAATTTCAAAGATGCAGGATGTTTTTCCAAAAATTTCGAAGATCATTCAAGTTATTTTAACAAAACTTTGTGTATGTTTCAAAGACATAAAGGCTCTCTTTTTATATATCTCTGGTTCACTTCTAATTGAATAAAAAAAATTATGGCTTCAAAAGATGAACTTTTATGTGTGTGTGTGTCCTTGAAACATACAATTTTATCAAACCAGAGTAATTTTTGAAATTTTTAGAAAGACAAAACTTTTCTTTCAATTTTGACATCTTGTTTCTTTGAAACTAATAATGAATTCGATTGGGTGCACTTGTACATATTAAATTGTTGTACACTGATTTAATTTGTGTAAATGCAAATGTAAATATTTCGAATTATAAAACACATATTTTATTTAATAGCGCTATAAAATATATTGAGGATTTCATAGCTTAATTCATTTTTATATTTGTATTAAACATTTTCAATTTATGTATATGGCTTTCCTCTTATAAATAATTTTGGACATATCATCATAAGTTTTCTTGAAAGATCACAAAGAGGAATCATCCCTTAAAATCTCTTTTAAAATACTTAAAGCCATGTTGTATACATAAAAAGTAATATCTAGGTAATTACGGGAATGATGTAGTCCTCAGGAGGAGGGAGCTGATTCGCGTATTCGAGAATCCATTCTTCCAAATCTTTGGTGTGTTTGTTTTCGAAGGACTTAGTCTTTCCAGGCATGGACTTCGATATGGCATGGTTCAGGTCAAACAAGATCATCTGTACTCTTTTAAGCTTATCGACATATGGATGTTCAACTTTGCTGTCGCAAGCGAACTCTCTTGCTAGTCCTATGTAAGATGATAACTCGTCAGTTGCCCCAAGAGCGTTGAAGATCATGTCATCCTTCGGCTTCGTGTCTCCGGCATCTGTGATTGTCATTCCGGAGTCACCGTCTCGTGAAAACACTGCTACCTCAGCCACATTTGATGTTGTGGTACCTCTATAACAATGTCATCATCAGTAAATTAACAATTATGTTATCTTAATATTAGGGTGCTATTTCATTTGTACGTTTTTGTCGTACGACAAATGTATACAGAACAGAGAGATCCTCGGATCTCTTTATTCCATAGTCAAACAATAAGCTTGAAAAATTGTTGTACGACAAAAACGCACAAATGAAATATCACCCTTATACTTCTCTTGCATAACGCACCAAATTTGATTTATTATCCATCAATGTAAGATTAACTTTACTCGGTTTAACTTATTGTGTTTACCTTTTTCTAATTCTAAGCACTAGAAAAGGAGTCTAAGGCCTAGTTCTAGCAATGTCAAATTAATTTTAATCTCAGTTCAATTTATTCTTTATCATTTTCTAATTCTTAAAATTAGAAAAATTTGTTGTACGATTAATTTGTTGTAAGATTAATAGTAAGTCAAATTAAGATTAAAGTTAATCTTACCTTGGTGAAACCGAGCCTAAATATAATATACAGGGTGAGGAAAAAATATCGGGACACCTAAATAATTTCTGAACGGTTCGAGATAGAGGATTGAAGTTTATAAGGATGCAAATAACAGCATAAAAGGCGATTTTTGGCGTGCTTCTGG